CTGATACAAGGTTTCAAATGCAGGTCATCCAGTACAGATCGAACTTACTGTTGTTGTAATGGCCGATGAGACTAACTTTATAACCATTCATTTGTAAGTTGTTGCCTCCTTCTATTTTTAACTTTTATTTAGTCTGGTACAAATCCACAGTGAGGTACCACCAAACAGAGTTTAAATTTGCTAAAACAAGTTCAAATAGATGAAACTGTTGATAAGAAGATGCTTTAGTTTGTTTAGTGTCTCTATTTGCCTTGAGAATCAGCATTTGAAATCATTATTTTTATCAGGGATCGAATTCAGGCTCCGGAAGGATTTTTACAAATTGCACAGCTGTGCGAATGGCCTTCTCAAAACGCATTCATTATTGCTGACCAAGTTTAGATTTTAAGTGGCAACGTCACAGTAATAGCATCCTCAATAAGAATTGCACTCATGGGAATTGATAGGCACAACAAATTTTATACGAATTTTGTTCAGAATAACTTGACTGACTGTTCTTCGCTTTCACAGCTTTCCCCTGTACCTCATATTTAACTCCCTACACCTTCTAGCTTTACCCAAATTAAAATAGCCATTGAACAGGAGGATATTTCAGGAGGTAGACAATATTAGTAACTAGGACACTGATAGTGATCCCTAAATAGAACTCTGCAGATTATTTTGAAAGGTGGAAAGAATACTGGGATGTTTGTATGAGGCCACTAGGGAGTACTTTGAAGTGAACTAAGGCGCCATTGTCTTGCGTAGGGTAATATTTACTAATATCAAATCGCTGGATCATTTTGGGGAGAGTACGAATCCTATATATAGACTTTTATAAATTCTATATCAATTTCCCAGTTTTATATATATATATATATATATATATATATATATATATATATATATATATATATATATATATATATAAATAGATTGCACTGCTGATTAGTATCAAAGTGAGGTTCTCTATATCTAGAGGTACCGTTATTTCTACTTATATTTTCTACGCTTATATAACTAGAAATTTGACCGTCTGACAAAATACGAGATCTCGAATCATCCTTCCAAATTTGTCCAGTCGCAATGACCATGAGTAGACAGCGGGAATATAAAATTCAAAAGAAATCTTTGCTTAGTAACTGGGATATATAAATATATTTTAGTGTTGTCTGCTGAATATAGTGTTGGACGATTGGAATAGAAAGGCCGGGGAGGAACTGACACAAGTAATCCTCCCCACCCACTGTTTTTTTTTTTTTTTTCTTCATCCAGACAACCGCTGTTATCATCCTTCTTTACATCCGGTAAGCAAATATCTGTCCAATCTAATCAATGATTGTCTCTTACTACATATTTTAGCACGCATGAAAAGTACACGAGTTACCCCCCACCCCAACCCCCTACCCATTGCCTCTATTCATAACTGGATGTGATCGACTCTTGGGGGCAAAATGTCAGATCTCTCAGCCTATTTTTCCTTTTTCTCGCTCTCTCCAAGGTTAGAAATAATCGACCATCCTTATTGATGTCTGAGGTCATCGTCAAATATTAGGTTGTTCGGAAAATAATGTCCGATTTTAGAATCAACTTTCATTTCTTAATTGATGTATTTAAACAGTGTTTAAATCAGTCAAATAAGAACATCCTTGAACATCTATACATTTCTGACATCAACTTACAGGGTTATTTATGTCTTTCCGATGAAACCAGAAATGTTTGGTTAGCAAGCAATCTTTGAATGCAGTTTCTACATCTTTGCAAAAGGATGTGTTTGGCTTAGTAAAAAGTGTTAAGACACTTGCAAAACTATTTATAAGTGAGCGAGAGATCACAGGAATATTCTGGATGTCACAAAGTTTCGTATACCATGCCGCTAAGCTTCTACAGCTTATCTTGTCAACATATTTCCGAGTATTGTCATGACGCAATATTGAACACTGTCGTTAATCCATGCCGGTTGCATTTTGCTTAATTTAATGTGATTTCATCCAGTTGCAGGTAGTAAACTTCAGCAGTGATGCTCTGGTTAGATTCCAGAAAGATTTAATGTATCGCGCCAATGCTAGATCACCAGACATTCACCATAATCTTCTGCTGGTGCAATTTAAGTTTTGTGAACTGTTTAGAAGTTTTGTCATTAAAGTCAATCGCTGACACTTGTCCTAAGAGATTCCTTCGTCATCACTACTCACTATTCAATCAAGAAATCGATCATTCGAATTTCGCAGTCGCAGCATCAAGCACACCTCAAAAGGTCGAGTTCTTTGAATTTTTCTCAATTCATGTCGACCCCCGATATCGAGTTTCTTCATGTCAATTTTCTTACGACAGTCCGATATTGTTCAAATGTTGAGTTGAGACTTTTGTTGATACATTTCTCTGAAATACATTTCGTGGATTTTATTCGACTAATGTTTTCAGATGTTGTTTGTCAGTTGCAGGTGGATCTCTTCCACCACGTTGATCTTCAAGAATCATATCCCTACTGAAGAACTTAAGAAACAAGTGCCGTATTGTCCGAACAAAATTTGACCTTTCACTGTCTATCTTCTGTTAATGTTGGCAGTAGTTTGAGAAGCATTGTGACCAAGCTTGAATTCATGCAGAAAAGTAAATGCGTCTCTTCTTTGTTCATGTTCAAGATGAGGAGTATATAATCAGTTGAATTCCGAAAGAGATTGATATAAAATTAATAAAAAATAAAAAAGAAGGCACTTTAATCATTAGGAATAAATAATATATTTTTCTTTACCTATTACAATAATATATTAAAATATATTATATTTAAATAATATTAATTATTACTATTTTCTAATATATTAGAACGCAAAAGCTTTATTCTAAAATCAGCCAATATTTTCCGAACACCCTAATATTTACGACCTTATTCTTAATCCGAGTTAAGTTAATAACAAAATATGTGAAAAATAACGCAGCGAATAAGGCGAATTTCAAGAAGCTTTTATTTTTTAAAATGACTATGGTAGAATAGGTTTAGTATCAAGGTCTCTTCATAGAAGAACCATTTGTAGACCTTCGCTGGGGATCAGGTAGCAGCAAGCCTCCTCAGGTTTTCAGCATTTAAAAAATATCTTCTCAGAATTTCATCCCTAATTCGTGCTGATTAGACTCAATTCTTAACCGGAAATTCCGAATATTTTGAAAGGACTTTCGGAAAAGTTTCCACTCCTTCAAAGATCACATTTGTTTCTCTTAAACACCACAATTATTGCAGCTCTTAAGCTATATCTTGATATTTTGGTATTTAATCACCTTTCAGTTTCACTTGGTGCTCTTGTAGCATCCTGCAACTACCAGCTGATAATTGCTAATTTCTTTGTTATAAACAAGATCTTGAAGATATTTTTTATAAAAAAATATATTTTTAATTATTATACATTTTATTGTTAACGATTTTTATAGTAAGAACGGGGTGTGTTGTCTCTTGAACTTTCTATAAATTTCTGTATCTCTCCTAACTGGATTTTGAGGTTTTTTTTAATTGTATTGTGCTGACATATAATAGTCTGGCAATCTTCATTATTCTCTTTTTATGTTGCCTGAATGTACTCTACATTCTATTTGACGGATGTCTTCAGTGGGGGTCTTTCGGCAACATCTCTCAGATGTAGAAATTTTCACTTTTGTCAGTAATTTTCTAGTTAGCCGATCGATATTATTATGTTTTGTTAACACGGTGTCGATAATTTTTATAAATCTTTTTTTCTTCTGTTTCTGTCCACCAAATAATCCGAACTTAAGTGAAATATTTTTTTTTAACTTTGAGCACATTGACTACGAGATGAAACAGTAGCCAAAATTTTATCAGTATTGACCCTGATTTATAAAAGACTCAGGAATATTCCAAATGAATCAGGAATCGGTATTTTGTTTTATGTCACCACTAACAATGTTTCCTGGCCTTCAGCGAGGCGAGAAGAGTTGTTTGGGGTTTTTTTTCTGGAGAAATTTGCAAATGACTTCAAATATAATTAGTGGCATTGTTGTAATGTTTGGTGGCCATATATTATTATATACGACATGTTATTTTATAAATTAAAATATGTTATATAAGCAGGTGAACATTGTTCCCCTTTGCTTATTTCCCTTTAATCTAAAGTCGGGATCGAAATGCTCAGGTTATTGCAACTTTCAAGCAGTATATAGTTTCAGCTGAATAACTAAATTTCAGTTTCAAAGCCATCAACAAAACACTACTTTATATATAAAGATAAAACAATTCAGACTGAAAAGGCATAAAAAACTGGTACTTCAAGCGGGATTTGCAAATTATCTCCATTTAGCAAAAGTCCTTTAAGTTGGGAAGAATATAAGATACACTGAAAGAATTAAATAACAAAACCGTATTTATCTGATATTACAGTTATACATAATATTTGCACACATTAGTAGAAAATTAAGTTTATTACATATATTTTATTAATTTTTAGAATTGCGTAGGAACAAACTCACACACTTCGAGTTTTATGTATCATTGATATTAGAAAATTATTATTATTATTATTATTATTATTATTTCTAATCAACTAGATTTTAAAACATTATGCGCATGACCAAACAATAAAAGAAATGATCAAAACATTTATAGATTTTATCAAGGTTAGAATATTGAATATTTTTTGACAGAATTAAGAATACCCTGACCAGTCCAGTATACAAAATGATATGCGACCAGCAAACAAGTTAGTTCGGATGTGTTTAGTTCATTCAATCTTTAATATCAAACAGGCCACAGCTCCATGAAAAGAGTATTTTAAGACATAAAAGGTTTGTAGAGGAAATATCTGTGCCACAATGAATTCAGGATAACAAATCTTTTATGCTAAAAAAATAAATTAAAGAAAAGTTTAAAAAATGCTGACTGAAATGAAAATAAAATAGAGGTTGAAATCACATGACAGCCAGAGACAAATGTATTAATGGCTGAAAGGATACCGATACCGAATTATTCCAAAATGAGGATGAGACGTGAAGATACTAATCCGATTAAATTTAAGATGTTTAGAAGATCTAGAAGTGATCTATCTATCTATCTATCTATCTATCTATCTATCTATCTATCTATCTATCTATCTATCTATCTATTAAGATTGAGATTATTTTTCAGTCTGATAATATCTATTCATCTGAATCTTGTAAGGATCCTTTTCCAAATGAAACTGATATTTATATATATATATATATATATATATATATATATATATATATATATATATATATATATATATATATATATAAAATCCAGTTTGTTCTAATCAATTTGCTTATCAACATTTCTTCTTTTGTTCGTGTCTATCGATTCGTCAGGCTATTTCAACCAAAAATTATTTTCCTTTCTGAATTATTTCTTTTTTTTTTCTCAACAATCCCCACCACCACTAATTCTCCTCACAAACAAATCTTCTTTATCTCAGGTTCCATTTCCAACACTGCACTTAATTCCACTCAGAACATTTTAGAATATTTCCTGCCACTTCAATATTTTCATCGTCTGTCTTTTTTTCTTCTTTTGTCCACTCTCTCTTTTAACATTACTTCCTTTTCCAGTCGCTTTTCATATTCAACCCTTATCTTTTTTTTTCCCTTTACCTGATTCCAGTAAATCCAATCACCGAGCATATCAAAACGGTTCTTTGTCTTTGAATCACAAAAGGTGCCACAAAAATGAATGTCCGTGATGAGATAAACAACGAAACAGGTTTTTCTTTTAAACGCATAGTTTATCTTATTTTATCAGAATTTTTCTTTCCACGGAACTTTCATGTCAAAACCATCAGATACGCAAATGAATGTGTCAAATCAAAATGACGTCATTTGCTTTCAGCTCACACGCACACAAACACACAAACATATATATTAACACACACACTCACACGTACATACACACACAAAAAATACACACAGACACACATATATATATATATATATATATATATATATATATATATATATATATATATATATATATAAATCATTTCATTTGATATTTTTATTCGAAAAGGTTTTATTTGAAGCGAAATTACAAAATAAAAATATAAGCAAAGAAAAACACAAGCAATAATATTTTTTAATGAAAACCTAAAGAAAATCTATTTATATAAATAGAAAAGGTCTGTATTAACTGAGCTGAGTTTTTCAGAGAAATGAATTTTAAAAATCGATTTTTTTCTTTTTTCTCATTTAGATTCAAATACCTGATTTTTTTTTTTCAATTTCACGTTTCGAAACCTTTTTTTCTTCCTGCTGAAATAAAATTAATTTTCACCAGAATTAAATAAATTCCATATTTTTCAATCGATACAATTTACAACATGTTTAAATCATACGAACTATGTTCGTTTTTCATTTAATGTTTTCGCTCTACTTTCTCATGATTGTCTTTGTCATTTTCTCTTCGACAGAACATTTGTTATTCTTTATTTCAGTTTTTCATTCGACACCTTTTAATTACTGCTTTACAAATTGGACATTTTAAAATATAACCATTTGATTTAAAGTTGTGACTATAAAACAATATATTTTCATTCTTTCGAAGGAATTTCCTCACTTACAGACGGATGCAGACAATACTTCTCGTTACGAAGAATTAATCTCATTTTTGAAAGCAAAAACAATTTCTGAGTTTCGAAGAGTAAGCTGATTTGTTAAAATATAATTTTAACATTATTTGGATAAATTATAAGAAAATCATATTTATTAAAGGTACAAAGCAGTCAAATAAATGCATTATGTGACACATTATCAAATGAAAAGCGTTATAAGTAATACATTTGTATAAATAAAATACTATTTATTCTCATTATTTAAAGAATTACTAATGTACTGAACTGTTACATGATAGCTATCCTCCTGCGTGGCAGCGAAACCTTAAAGATGAAGAAGAGACTTGGTTCTACCGAAAGATACTGAGGATACCATGGAAACAAAAACAGTAACTTGTACTTAACATCAGGAAGAGGCAGTTGAAATTTCCGGGGTAAGTAATGAGGAAGGAGGGCTTGGAAAACCTGGTACTCAAAGGTCACTTTGAGGATTAAGAGGGACAGTGGAAAGCAGCGCGAAACATACTTGATGAGATTGAGTGAATGGATAGTAGAACAGGGGTTGGGAGAAATAAGCAAAAGACAAAACATTATAAGCATAGGAAGATGTGAAGAGCCGTGGTCGCCTACATCCTGAAGGGACACAGCACATAAAAGAAGAACGCAGTGAATTCTTGATGATTCACAGAAGAAGAAACTTGAAGAAACAGCGATGTGCTTCTAAAAACCAATACTAAGAATATTATGGACAGAAGAGCGGCACATTGTCACCTCTATGGGTTATTTAATGCCGAAAATCTAAATAATTTCTACATAATTTTAGGCTTTCAACTAAGTATATTTTGAACGCTATTGAAATGTATTGTTGGTAGTTTTGTTTTAAATATGTATTGTTAGGAATTTTACTATATATATTGTTGGTAATTTTTACAATAAATAGCTATAGTTGGTTGTTTGGCGGCATATCAACACTTGTATGGGTTATTTGATGCCGAAATCTAAATATTTTGTACGTAATTTTAGGCTTCCAACTAATATGCCGTACATAATTTTATACTTTCAGAGTAAAGGTATGTTTAGATATATATTTTGTAGATCGTAAAATGTATTGTTGGTCATTTTACGATAAAAATGTATTTTTATATTGTTTTAGTGTTGCTATAAAAATGTATTGTTGCTCGTTTATTATAAAATAATTACTGCTGATTTTTGTTTGAGAGTTCAATATTTGCCCATAGCTGGGACCCTAACAGGTGTTACCACTCCGTGTCATTGTGGACCTGGTAACAAGAGCAGGTAAGAGGTGGTTTCATGCTCCCCAAAGCCTCCAATCTCCCGAAAATCAGATATAAGCAGTTGAAGTTTCTGGAACGCATAATGAGGAGAGTGCCTAGAGAATTAAACACTCACGGGACATAATGAAGGCAAAGAAAAAACAATGAGCAAAGCACCTAAACACCTTGCCTATATGGATGGCAGAGCTTCAATGATGAGGAAGTTGTGGAGAGTCATAATTGCCCACAAACTGAATGTACAGGGAACATAAATGATGACGAATTTGAGGAAAACGTAGACACCAAATTAACGGTTAGTAAGTCAAAAAGAAAAATTCAATAGTGTTAAGGAATACATAATGACTTAATGGTGACATTATGTCTGTGGATTTACGCGAAAAGTGGAATGTGGTTGGCGAATTCTGTACGGGATCGTTGCGTTCATTTTCACACAAATAACCTTGGGATTAAAGGTATAAATCTAGCTTTCTGTTCCCCATTCTGTCTAGCTGTTGTTAGCAATTAGTCTAACAGAGGAGCAAGTTCTTCTTCCAGGAGCTGAACTATCATGGCTCTTCTACAACTACCTATACTTTTTAGTTCCTAGAATGGTATGTCTTTTTCTATCTTTCCTAATCCGTTTTCTGCCAGGCATTTGCGCAAGCCCGCTTTCCGATTTCTCTTTCTTTCAATATTTCCTGTGAGTGTCAAAGTCTCCAATTCCCTTTTCCCCATTATGTGGCATTTCTACCGACAACACTGAATTCAAAATCAGTTGGACGTTTTGCTGGCAATACCACTTCCTACCCCCACCCAAAAAAAAAAAAAAAACAAAACTTCTTGCTATGGAAACCATAGCAGCTACACCTGTGGCTCTGGACCCTACAGAGGACAACCTGTAGATTCCAAAGCCACAGCCTCACCACGATAGGTGTAGCTATGGAAAGGGAGTTGGGGCATCCCTTCGTCTCACCACTTGTATGTTGGGTTAGAATTTCCAATGTTATGCAAATGTTATTTCAAAATCCCTGAAATATATTGGAAGACTGATAAAACAGAAAGGCCAGAAAATTTGTGATAAAAAGTAACAGAATTTTGGCAATACGCAAGAAAAGAAATGAAATAATTATAATAAAAAGATTGAAAATAAACGAATTCACTTGGGCCTCGAGATTCGACACCTGTGTATCTCCAAGGCCAAAGAATATGATAAATAATCATTGGTTTAAATGTGTCTTTTTACAGTGTGAAAGATATGAATGTATGTATGTTAGAAATTAAGCTTTGCGGGTGCCAATATGTGTCCGTGTGCGTAAAGTCGTTCAGATTTATACGCAAGAAACCAAGGCGTTTTTGTTTTCGTAAGCGTAAAAATAAGCCGGTGTGTAGGGAAAAGACAACGGTTGGGATTTGATATTCCCAATGTCTCTAAAGAACTAAAGTTCAAAATAAACTTTGGTATTCCACAGGAAAAAGAAATAAAAGTAAATCATAAAGGCTACTTACGAAAAAAAAAATACTAAATTAAAAAAATAAATGTAAAAGATAAATAACACAATTTTTTAAATTACGAATAAGATTGTTTCTCCGGAGATACTGTAGTTGAATTTTATTTCATGGATATATTTGCATTTTTTGACTCTTTCAACTCTTCTCCTTTTTCTACATTTTTTTTTTTAGTTTGTTTTCGATACATCTTTCATTTTTTTTTATTTATTTCTGATTTCTTACTTTTCCCATTTATATAGATATTTCTTCTTCTTCTTCTTCTTCTTCTTCTTCTTCTTCTTCTTCTTCTTCTTCTTCTTCTTCTTCTTCTTCTCATTTTTTTCATCATCGTTTTCTTTCACCTCCCACTTAATGCGCCAGACGCCTCTGTCTAATTCCTCATATAAAACAAGCGTCTATCCATTTCTCTTCATGTTTGCCTTACCTTTTTCTCCTCCCTTTCATGGCCCCCTTTTTATATTCCTTTCTGCACTCAATCTTCTACTCCGTTTAGTTACGATTTTTCACCCTAGCTCCTTCCGCCTTCAATACCCCTTCCTACCTCATATTCTATTCTTCCTCTTCCTCCTTTTTGGCACGCGACTAGCCTCTCTTCCTCTTTTTGACATACAACCAGCCTCTTTTCTTTCTTTTGACATACAACCAGCCTCTCTTCCTCCTTTTGACATACAACCAGCCTCTCTTCCTCCTTTTGACATACAACTAGCCTCTCTTCCTCCTTTTGACATACAACCAGCCTCTCTTCCTCCTTTTGACATACAACTAGCCTCTCTTCCTCCTTTTGACATACAACTAGCCTCTCTTCCTAGTCTTGTTCATACACCTGTGTCTTTTCTGGATGAGTTTTTTCTTACTTTTTCTATACTTCATTATTTTTTTCTGACTAATCTTTCTCTTTACTTCCTCTCCTTTTGCTACTGCTGATGATTCTGTCATCCTCATTTTATAACTTTTTTAATATTTTGAATTAATTGTTGTTGTTGTTGTTCTTCGTTGTTACTTTTTATTATTTCACTTTCTCTATATTTGATCTTCTAATCAATTCAATTTTTGAACTCTTCTTACTACAGTAGATATTTTCTCGCAAATATATCTTCCAGGAAAATGAAAATAACAAATACAGAAAAAAGGTAGATTAAAAGATTTCCTTTGAATTTTTTCAGTAAGAAATGCAACCAAAATGAAGCCTTAAAATTCATTTTAGTTTTAATAATTCTATTGCTTGCTTTTCACGTTTCCTTCAGTTTTGCTACGTAATTTGCTTTCTCTTGAGAGGATCAAAATTTGAAAAGTAACAAGTGAATCAGAGAAAGATTGAGAATGAGAGAATAGGAAGAAAGATTTGGGAATAAGAAATGAAAGTGAAATCGAAAAAAAAAAAACATAACAGGGGAAAATGGCGATTGCAATAATAGGACAATGTAAAGAAATAATAAGAAAAAATACTAATCAAGTAAAATGTAATTTTAATAAATATAAAAATATCGACTTGATAATGAAAAGAAAAAGAAGAACAACAAAAGAATAATAATAATAATAATAATAATAATAATAATAATAATAATAATAATAATAATACAAGGCATGACTCTTATAGTTGGTGATTTTAAGTGATTGAATTTGTTAACATATATTTATGTTTTGTCTTGGTGAATTAAGAATGGCCACAGTAAATATCTCGTTCAGTATCATTAATTTTTCTTGTCAGTTGCCTGACCATAACGAATTGGGCATGTTATGTATTAGTTGATGCCGTGTGAATCTCTCTTCATGAGAGAGTAGTGGGTGAACATCATGACTTAAAGGGATGAGGCAGTCAAGGCGATTTGGGAGTCATATCTATATATTTGGGGACACCGACATTTGGATACCGTCTGAACCAACGCAGTTACACAAACTGAAGTAATTTCTAACTCTGGGCCCATCTGCAATGATATGCGTTGCTTTTATCAACACCTGCCACCATATTGTGCGCATTTGACTGTCTGTGCATACACACCTGTTATTCCCTGATATGTCCCGAAAAGGGATATATTTGAACGAAGTAGCTAAGTGATTTTGGCTACTATAACCAAGTAGAATACAGTAGCAGTAATCGATAGGTACGCGTCGTAGTCGCAGGTAAGAAGTGTAGATCAATGGCGTAGTCCAATGGGCGTCGTTATAGACTTAGCTCTCAGACTAAGGCTCTCTGACTCTCCTACACGTCCGTTGATATTTATGACGGACACCAGCCACACTCCAGTGAGGGGGAATACAGGTGTATGCATATTCCATTATATCATTCTCTTATCAGACAGGTTCTCATGATAGATAAATCGGGCTTTGTGTATTTCTACACCAGCGTCAAATTTTTGGCATTTTGCTCTCTCATTCAATAGCAATAATAATAATAATAATAATAATAATAATAATAATAATAATAATAATAATAATAATAATAACAACAACAACAACAACAACAACTATTTAAAGTGTAATGCCATATTTATATAATATAATTTGTCTTGCATAATATAAAACAAGATACCCACGAACTTTGAAATTCCAACGACACGTCCAGTTCAGACTAGAAGACCAAATCTAGTTTTTAAAATAATATTTGTCCGACAATGAAAGTAACATCCACAGCAGACTAGACAGGATCTGGAAGAAAGTGAAAAGCCGTAAAATGAAATAATGGTGGAACATGACTGTTTGTGCCATCATTAGGAACAGTCAAAAAGTGCTTTGGAGATCCAAAGCAAAATCAAAACTCTTCTAAAAACATCATTGTTTGATTAACAAGAATATTGTGAAACTCTTGATATCTTGTAAAACTGAATACTCGGCATATACAAATAGTAAAATGATGACAATAAATATATTGAAATATATATTTCAAAATAAAAAAAAAAATTAACAAGAAAATTTGAAAAAAAATTTAAAAAATGTTTTTAAAAATCGAAGGAAAAAATAAAATTCAAAAAGAAGAAAAAAATATGACATCCGTTCTGGGTATGACGATAAACTACATCCAGCAACAAGGCCTCAGATTGGGAGGTTTTGAGGAGCGTGGAACCCCCTCTTAATTGCTGTTGTTTCCATGTCCACTTGTTAGGGTCCCAGCTATGGGTAAATAGTTATCCCCCAAACTGGAGTCAAAACACTATGAAAGTATAAAATAGATTTTTATAGTAAAAGTACCAGTAATATTTTCTTGAAAAAAATATTACCAACAATAGAGTTTTGAAAAAAAATACCAGCAATACATTTGTCTCCCGCCAAAAAACTCTCTTTACAAAAATACGTCAATGAAACCTGCTCTACAAACTGATTTCTTACGAAAAATATATTTTATTCATACGAACCTCTCCTATAAATCTTGTCGGCATTAAATAACCTATAAGCCGTAAAACAAAATAAAACAAACCAATAACGGCGCTGATTATGGAAAAGCTAAAAATTCAAGACTTGAAATGAAAAAAAAGGAAGGAATAAATGTCATATGAATCACGTAGTTTGATTCTATCTTGTTCCCCATACATTTGACCACATGTCATAAATAGCTTTATAGATATTTATTTAGATTAGTTAAATTCGATCACATATGAGGTGAGAGAGACGAGGGAATGCTATTTAGAAACTCGTTCTAAAGTTTACAGTGAGTGAACTGTTTAAAATAGAATTCGAAAGAAATGTCCTTCTACAAGTAACCTGCTTATGAACATGATAAGGTCCTGATGTAAAATTATAATAATAATTAAGGTAAGATTTTTGAGAAATGACTTCTGCGTGTTGCGTGTAGTCAGGCAAACAATAGTATCAGAGCATTCTGCATATGTTTCAGTTTCCGTTTTCTTTAGAAGCAGGTATGGTGACCTATTCTTTGTCGCGCAGTAGAGGAAGATGTAGGTGTTCATGTTATACTTTTGGTGAAAAATGATTGCAAGTAAGATGGAGCAGCGGATTAACATTAGATTTAGTCTGAATATTGTAAAAAGTGCTGATGAAATGCTAACCCTATTATGTTATTACGCTATGAAGAAATCGATTTTGAGTGGCACAAGCAGATAAAAAAGAGTGAAAAGGTGTGTACGGTGACGAAAGAAGTGGGCAGCCAATATGAACAGAATGCGAGCCTTGGTGTGTTCAGGTCGAAGATTTAGTGTGCAACTGATAGCAGTAGAAATAGAACTGAATAAAGAAATAGTGCGACATATTCTTTTATTATACTGTTCTTCAGCCACTACACGGCATAAGAATCACTCAAGGTAGTATATTATTGAATGAGGTTGTTGTAAGGGCGTAAAGTGGGGAATTAAGAAGTACTTATTATGGACTTATATATATATATATATATATAGATAGATAACAATTGACTCTAAACTTCTAAAGGTTAAAATCGTAGGCATAGGAGAAACACTTATACAGAGTCTGTTTCACGAATTAACTTTTGCATCCCCGGCATTATGCAGCTGCTGATATATCCTACGGTGTTACTCTAACATTCTGATCCTTGACTGGCGGGTGAATAACGATTGTCCAGAAAAGCCGTTACCTCCAGCACCATTGTTGAAGAAACAAACAATCCAGATCATTGAAGAATTTATCAACATGTCATTAGAAGAATGTTCATTGATTGACTGATTTGTATTTTTTTTTACAGCTTATCAACCCTTTGTGGCTTATTTAATGCTCAAACATGTTTTTCGGTTGTAAGAATATTTCTTCTTTTTTTGTGATAATGTTTTTTTAGAATAACGGTGATTTTTTTTTAGATACATGTCCTACTATTTAACCCATAACTAGAAGAAGGATATGGATTCGTACCTTTCCTATGAATATTTACGCGTAAGTGAATGTAACGAATCCGACTGGAATTCGAACTCGGCTCTTACATCCGAAGTGAAACCTTAACACTTACCGAGGAATCTGGATACGGAATTTCTCCTAGAGTCAGAAACATTCTAGCCGAGGATTTTTGTATGAAAAAAATTTCCTCAAAGATGGTGCCTACAATCTTGACCGATGAGCAAAAACAACGCCGTCTTCACGTTTCATTTAATCTTTTCAATAATATTTGAAAGTGCTATGAAGTGTATTGTTTTCAGTTTGACCAGTGCACGCAGTTAGCTTAGCCATGCAAAAATCAAGTCAAAGAAAGAAGGATTGTGTTGCGTCAGTATTCTCATATACAAGCAGATTTTCTGATTGCTTGTATTAAAAAATCAACACTCAAACCTCTTGCACTGTTTAATAATGATATCCTGTAACATTATAGATACTTGAACATCTGCCAGTATCAGTAGGTGTTATCTTTTCGCACTTCTGACAGTAAGGTGTCATATGTCGAAAATGAACAACCAGAATGTGTGACATGTTAATATGATAGCAATAATCTTTGTGCTGTTTGTAACGAAAAGTACCGAAGAAAATGGTGATATCACAATTTTTATCTCAAGTATGAAGCAGAACACTTCTTTTTTTGAATCGTCTTTCTCATTGTCAGAATATATTTCAATCCTGACGCAATATATATTTAACATTAATCTTTATTACTCCTACACTATAATGAGAGATTATTTATTACTAACATTTTATTGTTAATGCTGTTATATAATAAATTTTGTTGTTAATAATATTATATTGCATTTTTTTCTATTAATATTATATTGTTAATATAATGTTACAGTTTACTATGTTTTATGACCGTCAAAAATAAAGAAAACTTTAACGAAAGGTACGCTGAAAAGAACCAATTCTAACTCGGAGACGATCGATAAACTTCTGTGTTAATAATTCTTTAGAGGCTAATTGTTGCTTATACTTTTTATAAGTCATTTCTATTAAAGAATAAGCGTTAAGTTGGGTATAATATAAAATTCATATTGTTTGATATAAAGGAAAAGAGTAATAGATTAATGCCATGGTTTATATGACAT